TTTAAAAAAAGAAAAACATGCACTGTCGACCGTATAAACGATCCACGAATAAGAAACTTTGCTACTGAAACAAATCACTTGACAAATAAGTTGTATCGCGCGGTGCACTCGACTGTGAACCCTTAACATACTGGTCAGCGGATTGAAAAAAAGTCCAACAGGAAGAGTTGAAAATGAGATGAAGGAATCTGTGTGTTTTGGTGCCTTGCAGTTGCAGGGAATAAAACTAGCCCGTAGATATCAACTCTATCTTTTTATTATTTTGATCTGTTACATGCAGGGTGTGGTCCAGTGATTGAAAATACACTCAGAAGTCCCGGATATCCTAACGATTACCCAAACAATACAGATTGAATTTCTTCGGTTCCTATTCCACAAGGCATGGTGATTAATATTACCATTAACGAACTTTACATGGAGGATAGTATATCTTGCCAGTAAGTACTGATTTTTAGTGTGTTAACAAGTTGTGAATGTAGGGAGAGGTCCAGTGACCTGCATCACTTTCTCCACAGAATGTAAAGCCTCTCCTCCTTTTTTTTCAAGGGAAGTCACATTTGTATTAATTCGATTATTTGAACGCAAGTTGTAGGAGGAAACTTTTCAGCTGTCAGCATGTGTTCAGTTCCTTCAACAACTTCCCGGTCCTAAAGTGGCGTAAGGCTGAATTTCCTTCGTTTTATCACCAAGCAATAATTGAATGCTTTACAGTTTAAGTAACTTTTTAGTAACAAGGACGAAAAATTCTGAAACTAAATTATTGCTGTAAGTTAAAGAGCCCTAGTCAACCACACTTTTGTTTTTGTTTACACGCGAGAGTTTGGGCTATTATACTTTATTCGCAGCATGTCGAAACTACTAATTAAACTAATTAAGGGGGTATGGTACCCTAAAATATGAGGATGTTCATGAAAAATGCAATTTCTTGGAAATACAAGACTTAAGAGCAAATTCTCACAAAAATCAAACAAAATCGGCTGAAAATCGACCAGTTTCATTCGATTCGCATTTCGCGACCATTGAGCACAGAAAAGTTTTGATACAAACAGCTTATTGCTGAACTATTCCTTGTCTAAAAAAAGGACAATTTCAAGAATATTGGGTTAATCTAATTATTTGGCGGTAAACAAAACCAGAGTGTTCTCCAAAATTGAGTTAGTCAGTCGGTGAAAAGAATTGTGATTTTGACCATGTGCGATGTCTCGGAATTCTACAAGATTTTAGATTCTAACTATACTAGGATAGGTCTTTCATTATATGTAAAGTTTAGATTGGGCAAATGATTAGGCACTCATCAAAAAATTATGCAAAATCGTTCACAAAAGACACAAAATCACGCCAGCAGTCGAATGCGTGACCAAAAGTGT